TCTTTCATTTTCATCTTTTTTATTTGTTTGGTTGTTGTTGTATGTTATTTCTTTGTAATTTCAGTTTTTTGTTTAATGAAATTGTTATTTTCGGTTAATCTTTTTGATTTTTTTTCAGGGTTATCAAATCAATTTTATATTACATTAGACAATGGAAGTCCGAACTGATGAAATGTAGTTGTTAGGTGTTTTATTTCGTCGCCGACGTACCTTCCTTCATATATTCTCAAAGCTCTGTTTACTAGGGTGTTGATGACAGCTCGTTCCTCTTTTGAATGATGGTTGGATCTATTATGTAGCTATTATGTCAGTCTTCTTCCTGCACACCTTATGACCTAGTTGATTAGCTTCTTCGATGACTAAAATATTAAGAAATGGGATTTGGAGGTTTTCTTCCAATTCAATGGTGAACTGGATTTTTGGATGAAAGCTATTCATATGATTTAGGAATTTCTGAAGTTCTTCTTTTCCATGGCTCCAAACAAAGAACGTGTCATCTACATATCTCAACCAGTGCTTCTGTCGTTTTTCTGAGATTTGAATGGCTCTTTCTTCGAATTTTTCCATGAAAAAGCGCCAAAACGGAGCCACTTCATCCAAATAGAAAAGGAAATATGCGCGAACCCGCCATTAGTAAAAGTGCGCGGAAAATCAGCACTATACATGACACGACAGAAACGAGAGCTTCAGTTTCAGTTGACAGGTCAAGAAGAAATACTTCAACCACGTCACTAAAGATGACTTCCGCAGTTGCAGTTGAAACGTTTGGTAATTTTAACCAAAGAAGGCCACGGCATAACCCGGAAGCCAATCAGAACATTATCGGTTTCTTGTTCGAACTTTTCGAAATATAAAAATTGTAATGTAGAACTTTATACTGGTGTAGAAAAGGCTATCTGCCGCATTCAATAATTCAGCTTTTCTGAAAGAGAGTTAAGAAATTAGATCTTAGTGAATAAGTATTCAATATATTCTGAATAAGCGTCATCTGAATCAGTGCACAAGATTCGATGAAATCGACGAAGGACGTTTGTGCCTGGTCCTGATTGTTACCGAACTGCTTGAAAAGATGGTAGTCGGTTGGCGAAAGGTCGGGAGGGTATGGTGGGTGAGGCAGAATGCTCAATTCTTTCAATTTTCGGACGGTGATTTGTAAAACATGCGGACGGGCGTTGTCGTGGAACAGGATCGGACCTCTTCTGTTGATCAGTGCCGGATGCTGCTGTTGCAATTTGCGGTACATTCCATCGATTTTCTTACTATAGGACTTTGATGTGACGGTTAGACCCAGTTGTAGAAAGTTATAGTGATTCACACCAGCCGCTGGTCACCATAAAGTACCCATAGTTTTTCTATAGGTTTTCGCCTTCGGAAAGCGCCTAGGTGATTCGTTGGTGTTCAACCACTGTCTTGTACGTCTCCTGTTGTCGAAAAAGATCTATTTCTCATCACACTTGACGATCCGATCTAACAAAGATGTCAAAGGACTTTCAAAAAGCAGAATATAATGTTGATTGATTTCCGAAACATTTATTGTAATACATATTAGTTTATTGAAATTTTGCCACTGTATCATATCTTTCCGATAGTGAAAATCTTTGAATATGACAAATTACTGACAAATAAACAATTTTCTTTGTGAAAAATCCATTGACTTCACGCTGTATCTTATGCGTGGTGAACTGAAATGTTCAGTCTATTCACACATGTTTGACCTAAATTACAATTTTTAAATCATTCAGGTAAAAGGTTACCCAAAAAAATCGATAAAATAAATTACAGTTAGTATTAATCATTTATTTTTCAAATCCTTCAAATATTGGATTTATAAAAATTCTAAAAACACTTCATTGTGAGATTTTCACTAAACAGTTTTACAAAAACGCAACTCCTGTTTATACAACGAGTATTAACAATTAACTCAAATCGATCACATTTATATTCGCAGTTACAATAAAAAAAGGTTATCGAAGTGTATCGAATTATTTCGAAATAAAATATCGAAATATCCCAATAACGTAGGTCCTGTTTAATACCTGCCGAAAAAGAACTACTTTTCCGGCTAATACCACGCTGGATATTGAATTATATCCGGCAGACATTCATGCAAAATACCTCACAGAAGTTAGTCTCGCAGATGTTTCTAGTTCACCCAGCAACAGGAATATGCTGCTGTTTGAAATTATCCAATGTGTTTTATTATTCTGGAAAATAATATCCATTTTGTTAATGGAGGAGAGAGGATAGAGAGGATACTAGATCCAGAAAAAGTATTCCAAATCAAATCATCTAAAAGAACAACTATCTAAAAGATAATTTGATTTATAGCCAGTCTCCAAGTATGCCCACTCAATTTGTGAAAATTATTTCACTCTTTGGAAAAGTTTATTATTGACAGAAAATATAAAAAATATTGATGGAGAAGTATATATTAATTGCTCCCACAATTTACAGGTGTAGAAAGTGATACTCGTGAAACGGAGTTCGGTCGAAGGGTTTGATCTAGGTACATTTTTCCTGCGTGTATGTAAATACAATTTTCATGAAAAAAAGGATATGTTTCTGTAGAAAAGCCAAAAATATAAATCAACTTTTCCAATGACGGTTCATTGAAAAGAAGACTTTCTCACACTCTCGCAGGAAAATATATGTTTAATAGGTTTTTAAGCAAATCTACAAAAGAACGCACCATGAATCAAAGAACATAGATGACTTCTAGAGGATGTATGATGGAATCGGCCGATACTTGATGAAAATCCATAACTAACGTATTCCAAATGAAATGCAGTGAAATATAGTTTTTTCAGATCGAATAACAAAGGAAGTGGGTTCAAAAATGTTTCATTCATTAAAAAATAACAGTTTGGTCTCATTATAAATTGTATGCATGAATCGTGACATTCAAAAACTAGATAAATTTTCATACTCTTTCTTTATCTTTAATGATAACTGTTTGGAAAAATACTTGTTCAGAACGAAAGTTACTCATCAACATCAGACAATACAGAAGATACAAATATTTTCAAGGAATGTCTCATTTGGTAGTTCACAAGGTACGTACCTGGAGAAAGACTTATAGCTAGCCAGCTACCAATTGGCATAATACCATGGTGAATCAAATGAAGAGTGCTTATCTGGTTATATTTTTTTCGCATAATGAAGAATATCTGAAAATTTTAGTTTTCATTCCATTTCAATTACATAACATACAGGGTATTCAATATTGCGTCGAGTGTTCATATAACTCAAGATACCTATCAGACTCGGAAAAGTAAATACAGGTTTTGTAAATTTCCCCATACCTGTGTATTGATTTAGAATTCATGCCTAAAATATGTATTGGAATATTCTGTCAATGGAATATATTACAAAATACTCTTTCGAAATCCATCAAAGGAGGGGAGTTCTCAGAAATGAACAGTCGTTATAAATATTTGAGGAAATAAAATCCTACAATCTCCATCAGGACATTTTCATTCATCTCAAGTTGACTGGATTCATCTCCTTGACGGACATTACAGTCAAAGTTTTTCGAAAAATAATTCCAACTGAATATATAATTATAAGGAAATAATAATATTAATCTCTCCTAACTACCTATAAAGTAGGGTCTGATATTAATATTTCGAAATATTTATTTCCTTATACGTATATATCTCTCCTTGATAGTTTTCACTTTAGATGTAGGATAAAGTGCCCTACGTAATAATCAGAAAGTACCGAGGGGTAGAGGTGGGGAAGTATCCAAAATTGACTCTTTCTTTCCTAATCAAACCAACATAAAAATATTGAAATATCTACTCTCTATAAAAAAAGTTTCGTGTACTTTTTTTCCATTAAATACTTGAAAAGATATGAAGAGAGAAATATATTCGATTTTCATGCTCAAAAAACAAGTTTCAATAATAATTGAGATACATAAGTGTCGTGTGAGCTTTGATCGATATCGAACATATGTCAAACGGAAATGGGATTCAAAGCATGTTAAAAGAACTTAAAAACAGTTTTCCAATATATAATCAACGAACGTATGATGACAATAATTGTGCAGTGATCTTCTATGGTTTCGATGATATCGAAAACATGAAACGAGCTGAGCAAAAGAGAACACTATTTGCCACTAATTTTAAAGGTTGATTCTCATTGATAACAGATACTTTCCTTTGAAATGTCATTAGATGATGAAGTACCGAAAATTCATACTAATCATGTTCAATACAATGTCAAGTAATTATCTTGCTTATTTTAAAACCATTTCGAATGTCATTAACTTACCGTATCGAAGAACTCTGTGAATTTCGAAATGAAGTACCAGTACACCGTGCTCACCATCTGTAATTATCAGTAGAAAGAATTATGAATTATTCCCCAACTTCATTTCATTATACAAAATAAATTTGACACAAATATTTTTGAATTTCTCCCACTATTTGACTTCTGCAGGATTGACATTTCTCAAAACTATTTTCAGAGAAATGTTGAACACAGAGATAGAAATTACAAAAAATGTTTCAACTATATACACGTAACATTCGCCAACTGGTTATTGATACACAACTTTATGAATTCCCACTGTCTTTTTTTCCAAACATTTTCCGCTGTGAGAATGTTGAAGTGGAAAGACAATCCCTGAAAAACCTGAACAATAATACAGACATAGCTATTCTTCTGGCAAACAAAAGTAGTGCCAATCTATAGTACTCAACTCAACAATATAACGAGAATACTCGACTGTCCGTGATATCAACCACCAATATACTTCGAAAAGAAGACCAAAGCACTCATCAACACTCCAACATTCCATCTGATAAGAGAAATCTCTTATTCCAGAGGGAAATCTTCTCGTTCACCTTGTATATAAGGTCTTTCAAAAATACACAAACCAAACATTTCACTTCGTTCCTTCGTCAGTAAGTTTTCTCGGATCTCTCTCACACACGACCTCACCAAAAATATTGGTAATACTCTTGAAACACTTGCCGAGCAGTCTTCAACATTATGTCCAAAATTCCTATGATTGCATTGAATAAAAGCCTCAACCAATTTATTAGTTAAAATTATCATAGAATTCAGCTAGGCTATTTTTAATGATAACTAAATTCTTGCACAACAAGAAAATCTTTTACCTTATTTCTGAATCTTTTTTCATTCTGTATTCGTCTTAAGTTAATGGGAAGATAATTAATAGCTTCCTAATCTTGAGTATAATCGATTTTTGTGTAAGTGTTGGTGTAGGTAAAAATGGTGTGATTGGTGGGTACAATATGTCGAAGTGGTCTATTTTTGATTTATATAATTTTTGTAAGGAGTCTATACTGGTATCAAAGACCATTTCATTCTCTGCAGAACTATAATTATCAAACCTTTTCAAAAATATACATTACTGTATTGTTCTTCATTCAATACTGTTACTCAAATGAACATGTGTAAAGAGAAGAGTTTTTGCCTATATTTGTTCGATGCTGTTTGGATCAGGCGGCAGTAACACCAAACTGTTACTCATCGATTCAATGGAAATTTAGTAATTTTTGTTGGCACTATTGTCATATGGAATATACGTACCCCGAATCCTATTCTGGTGCCAATGCAGTGCATGAAACACTCTGTCCAAGATAAGAAGAAAAGTGGGAAACCGTTAGAGATACAGGGTCGATTGAATTGTGAAAAAGTCGCTCATTTTAGATCTTATTCAAAAGTTGTTTCAAAATTTATGAAATCACGATCAGTTTCGGATAAAGTCGAAAACTACTGAATTTTAAAATTTGGTTTTGATTTTTTCAACTTTATTAGATTGAAAATAAAATCACTTCCTCATTACCACTTTTATAACTGTACTAGATGGGATTTGCGGATTTGATTTTCAAGCCGACATTTTGTCTTCGAGAAACCACAAATTTAATTTCTTATATCGATTGGAAACAAGAATCACCCAGTATAAATTAGCATTTTTGATGTTAACTCCATTAATGTACGAACGTAATCTAAATTTCCTAAATTTGAAAACGTCTTTTAAGAAATAGGCAACTCTTTCTTAATTCATCCAACTTTTCATCTCAGGATTTTCGACTTCCCATGCTATTTTTTCTTATCTTGAACAGTTACTTGTCGAATGGTTGTGTTTCTGAGAATGATCAGTATGCTCAATAATTATTATTAAAATGAACGAAACGCCAAACGAAACCGACCTAAATTCTAAATTACGAGTCAAAATAAGAAAATATGCTCAATGTTGGAGGTCCCGACTTCCATTTTTGAAAAAAATTAATTTTAAAGCTTCACTGAGAGAATTAGAAATTAATAAGATGAAAATATTCGGATGAGTTGGTGGCAAAATAACATTTTGATGAGAAGAAATTGCATTAAAATTATCACTTGAAGAAGATTTGAAACCATTTCATGACATTTTTTTTTTGTTAATTTTCCAAGACGAGACAGAAGAAGTACAAATCTCTCTGACACAACATTTAAGGCTTTCGCTGCCGAAGTTTTCAGTGTCACTATTTTTATTTGGGTTTGAAGGTCGTTGATTTTTGCAATTTATTTCAAAATCGAAAATAGTGACACTGTAATACTCTGTCCGCGAATAATGTCCTTTTTTACAAAATCGGGATTATGAAAAAAATTTCTCATTTCCAAATAGAAACCCTTGCGGGTTAGTGATGTGTTGACAAATGACACGTGAAAGCTGATAACAAAAAAGTCGTTGTTTGATCACTCCGTTGTGAACTTAACTATGAATANCTTTCAAATGATATATCACTCGACCCCACTTTCCATTTAAAATTTTAGGGTTGTTACTCACCCTCGCTAGGGGGTTGAAGGCACAGGTAGAAAAATACATCTAAAATGTGTCCCCCTCAAAAGCAAAATTGACCTGTCCGAGCATTTTTGCGTTGAGTTACAAAAAAAAGAGAAAAGCAAGGTGTATACTTTTCGTTGGACCACTCGATATATTAATTCAGGTCCAATTTCGTAACTGAATTGTTAACTATTATTCCAAACAATGTATGTATTCCCATGATATGGGTATCAAATGGAGTGGTTTTCTAAAAAGAATACAAAAATCAAATGTAATATGGCATTTAGCCAAGATGGTTATCAATATTGCTATCTCGAAAACGGTAAGACCCAAAAGGTCGTTTTATACGATAGTTTTCTAATATTGGAAACTAGATTTTTTTCAGATAGAAAGTATCAGAGGTTGTTTTTGAAATACTCGCCAAAAACTTAAATTTTCGAATTTCGTTTTTTGGCACAACCGCCACCATTTCGAATGATACAAAAAAAGGCGGAGGAACTTTCAGTACTATTTCATATTATTTGTTATAATCTATACTAATATTATAAATGTGAAAGTTTGTGAGGATAGGTAAATGTATATATGTTTCACGCCTAAACGACTGAAAAAAAAAAGTTGAGATGGCAACTAAAGATTTTGTGCAACTATTTTGAAATCATATTGAATGCGTTTTTTTTCATTCGTGCAATGGGATATTTCATCACTTGTTCACAAATTATAATTATATCGGATATTCAGAGCAGATAAAATGATTTCTATGTTTCTCAACGGTGAAAATCGGTGTTTTGTTATTTGCGATGTTGATATAATCATTCATTCGTTTTGCAGGAGGTCATGGAACGTTCTCCAATTTGATTAATAATTTGGTACATGTCATAATGTACTCCTACTACATGATTGCCGCCATGGGGCCAGAGTATCAGAAATATTTGTGGTGGAAGAAATATTTAACCACGATACAGCTGGTGAGTATCTTCTCTCACGAATGAACTGGAGATTTTGGGTTTTTTCAATTCTTGGAAATTTATAGTCGATTCGAAAATTCCCTTAAATTGTGTCTGTATTATACTTCGTAATGAAACTATCCGATGTACGTTGAAGCAATTGGAATGAATTAATGAAAAAGAAATTATTCCATTTTACATGGTCACCGGATCCAAACATCCATGTGTCATGGCTAGATGCGTTTGTACAGCCAAAATTTATGCTTTAGTGCGACAAGTTAGTATGATCTTGAGGATCGAAAGGAGGAAGTTGGAGAAGTCATTAATCATAACAACCATTTCAACAGAGAGTCTGTGGAGTTCAAAGGGAAAATCTAGACGTTTCATCTGTTTTTCCTGTTCTTTTCGAAAGATATATGTCTCATCTTGAGCTTAGAATTGTACAAAAAATATTTTTTATGGTCGAAAAAGACTATATCAGGCTCATTAGCTAATATGAGTCTGATAGAGAAAAAGAACAATCCCAATAAATTCAGTGCTTCTCATTTCCCACAACGAATTCAATATCCCAGATGCATAAAACAATACTGCAAATGGTGGCAATATACAGCACTCGTGTCTTCGATCAAAAGGCTCCAATTTTGACTACATATTTTTCTTGCGTGAATTCATCNTTGCAAACTTGATATCAAGAGTACACCTCTTTTACGACAACTGAAATTCATTCAACGTTATTCATTTCTTTGTAAAAGCAATATAACTAAAATCAAAATTTTATTTAGGTCGAAGATTTAGAATCACGAGAAATGGATATCTTATGATTGGCCGCAAATTTTAAAAAAAAGGACATTCTTCCTTGAATGTGTGTTACATATTTTTCTGATTAACTTGGCCGTTACTTGATGTAATTTCACAAACTATACCGAAAGCAATTTGATTTTCACAACCTTTATTTGAAAAATATCAAATGTTTCGATATAAGAGTACATTTTTGGTAGTGAATGGCATACGAATTCTTCTCTCTAACTAACTGTACAGGTACATACTCATGATGTAGAATGTAGATCTAGAATATGATTGAGTACGTACCTGAAATGTACGTTGAATTATTTATGGTCAACTTGTCGGTATTATTACTAATTACAAATTTGGCCCAAACACTTGGAAAACGTAAAAACTTTTTAGATTTCCAATGAAAATTTTTGGCATACGATTTTCCAAGTTCAGTCTTCTCTTCCAGGACAGGTACCCATGTTTGAACAATACAGATTAAATGTGATGATCTATTCTCATTTCCATTTTCGTCATTGGAATTTTGGCATTGCTACATTTCATCATATTATATGGCCATCTACCTGCTTATTTGGATTTTCTCATCTAGAGATGTTAAATGTAATTCTGGGATCTCATTTTCTAATTCTCAAAGGCGTTACCAGTATATGTTTGACCACAAACATACGGAACACTGTAAACACAGTTTTTTGATTTTCATTTCTCATTTGTAGATCTTGTTTGAGTTAATGAATACCTCAAATGATTTTGAGCTTTGAAAATAATGTCACCATTGTGACTTTTGAAACGATTCATTCATTCTGTTTGAAATATATTTCAATATGTATATTAATGATATTCCATACATTTGAAACTTTACAACAAGTTGACTTCAGAGATGCGACCACTGAAAAATTCTGAATTCAAAAGGGCTATTAGAAATGTACTTTTAGATCACTGTTTTTATAGTGAATTTCACTAGTTCGGACTTCCATTGTCTACTATATAAAATGATTTGGAATCCCTGATTTGAAAACCTCGAGTCTGGTTGAGATATGTTGACGACACCTTCATAATATGGAACCATGGGAATACTGAATTTGTTTATGAAAAGTCGATTATTATCATCATCGAAGTTCATTTTGCTCTCAGAAAACACAGGTGAGAACAGAATCGTTCGATTCATCCCTGATATCAAAACGATCTCCTTTTCCATTTTGTTATACTTCTCAAATTGCAAACTTGATATCAAGAGTACACCTCTTTTACGACAACTGGAATTCATTGAGGATTTGTTAACTTTGTACGTTATTTATTTCTATTAGTATACCTAAAATCAAAATTTTATTTAGGTCGAAGTTTTAGAATCACGAGAAATGGATATCTTATGATTGGACGCAAATTTTGAAAAAAAGTACATTCTTCCTTAAATGTGTGTTATATATTTTTCTGATTAACTTGGCCGTTACTTGATGTAATTTCACAAATTATACCGAAATCGATTTAT